GACTGTGGGGATGGCTGTGGGTGAGTGTGGGGATGGCTGTGAGTGAGTGTGGGGACGGCTGTGACTGTGGGCACGGCTGTGAGTGACGGCTGTGGGTGACTGTGAGGACGGCCAGCCGGTCCCGGCGGTGCCCCCCGCCCCTCTCCCCTGTGCCGTGCTCGGTGCCCTCTTGGCCGGTCCCTGTCCTTACCGATGACGGCGGCCGAGCGCACGGGCTGTGCGGTAGCGCTGCTCCACGAGGCTCCCGCGGGCGTTGCCCACCGGCGCACGGCTCTCTCGGCGAAGAAGGCGTATTGCAGTGCCCGGGCCTGGCCCGAGCTCAGCAGCAACTGGAACAGCTCCCGCTCTCTCCGCAGCCCCTCGGCGAAGGGCCGCTCGCTGGCGGCTCGCACGGCCTGGAAGCACAGCTCCGGAGCCAGGCACCCCCGCGCCTGCTTCTTCACCTTCACCAGAGCTTCCCGCAGAAACGCTTCCATGTTGGGCAGGCTGGGAACTGGCTTCAGGCTGAGCCTGCGGGGTGCCAAGGGCTGACCTGCAGTGGGGAGAGAAATGGAGTTACAGAACAAAGCATCCGTATCTTTTMAGATGTAGTCTTCCCAGGCTACGGATTTCCACACCGTCTTTTCAGATGTAGTCTTCCCAGGCTACGGATTTCCACACCTTTCCACAGGCTGGAAAGGCAGTCTGACTCTTCTCCAAATCTCACTGCATTAGGGCCTGCATGGCACAGTGAACTGGCTCTGGAACAAAAGCATCTAACATTTCTCCTTACCTCTGTTTGCTGTGACAATTACAATTTTTCAAGTATCTTCTCCGATTTCAAAAAAAAAACTAGGACTTTAGTTTCAAAGACGCAATTCTCTCTTTTCTCAGCTCCAGAGTGCCCAAACTTTCCAGCTCGCTGCCACATTCATATGGATCTTTCTGTAAGCTTCAGTAACCAAGATTTCCTCCAGTATTGTTTGGTATTCAGCATCCAGCTAAGGCATTCCAGCCAGAGCCCTGACCCAGACATTGACAAGAGTGGGAAATGCACCCTGACTTCAGCTCTTCCCTGACTGAAGTTAGTTCCCCTCAATTCACTTGGGAACTAACCAAGAGGAGATCTCACTCAGCATGAGTTGGGCAGTAAATGAATAGCAAGGGAGAGTTCATGTTTGTGGCAGCAAGTGGTGAATCCAGCAGCCACACAAATATAGGAAATTCATTRCAGACAGAGTTTGCTATGGTGATACCAAAAAGAATTTTAATTGAGAGAACTTAGTTACATTTTAGATGCCAAAATTCTCTGCGTTCTTTGTAAGTACAGACTCTGACCTGGCCAWACTCAGGTGTTCCTCTACTCTTAATGGCAGCTTGCACCTTAGTAAAGACTATGGAGGAACAAGATCAGCAATTTGGGATGTATCCCCTTGATATTGTAACATTCTCACAAAGACTCTGCTGCCATCACAGACACATCCAGATCATTAACTGTAGCATGTCTTTGCATGGATTGCAAGACATGTTGTTGCCAGAAGCAGCCAGGACTGTCATCAAAGTCGGGTGGTAGGCTGAGACCCTTCTGCTAAACTCTCTGGGCACAGTGTCTCATTGCCCTCTCCTCTTAGATGAGCTCTGCCAGGGTGGCACATTTCCTTCCAAGGCATCACACTGCATCCAGCTCCCCCTCCTCTTCCTGTTGTCTGAGCTAGGGAAGTGCTAATGCMCCAGCAGAAGACTCAGGAAGTTCTACAGAGGATGCTGAAGAGCAAGAATAATGCAACACTGCAGGCATGGTTGCCTGAGGAACATGTCCTGACTCTAGCTCTGCCTCCAAGGCTGAGCAATGCTTAGGAGAAACAGAAATACAAGTTTTCAGGTTGAGTTAATAGTGAGTTAATATTACTGATTTTCTGTAATAAAGGTCTTCAGAGCTCAGTATTTTTAATTAAGCCTCTTAGTGAGCACAAGAAGATGAACGCTCAGCGTGTAAGTAGCTTCTCTTGTAATCAGAGCTCATAAAAATGTTTTCACATTGACAGTGGATATAATTTGTATCAGCCACTATTGCAGGATTTAGTCAGGATAATATTCCTCTATTTTGGAATAWTTTTTCCCCTAAATCTAACTTTTTAACCCAGAAATGCTCTTTACCTAGAGTTCTTTATTTAGGACTTAATTAATGGGTTTCATTCTACCACAAGAGGAAAGCTCAGTCTTGTCCCAGAAATTTAATCTGCTGGCTGGAGAACTGGGCAGATGAAGGGACTTCATATGACATCCAGTGGAAAGGACTGGTAAAAAGGAAATACCACTGGGGGCCTTTAAGCTTGGTCTTCAGACAGAAAATAGCACCWGTAAGCACAAATACTGATGGGGGATGGGAGACAGTTCCTCAGACTGGAAAAAAAAGTAACTCAGGGTCCTGTAATAAAATTCTTATATAGCTGCAAATTAAATAGTTTTTCTACAGCACCTCTGTGCAGCATCTTAGCTTCTGCAATGCTAATAAGAATAAATGACATGTTTATGAACAGGAAAGAATTATCAGAATGCAAACATGGGAGGATTTCAGTGTGGACATCTGCAGCTTGATTTCTGAAATCAAAGCACCAGGAAGATGATGAACAGTGTCAGACACTGTGCTGCAGGAAAAGCATTATCCCYACACAGGAGCTAGCACAGACTCCTGCTTTGTTTTACCAGGTTTGTAGTCCAKGTGACACAAAGGACAGAACAAGTATTTAAATTTCTGTCTGCAAATGTACCATGTATGCACTCAGTATCAAATATTATGTTATTTAAAGGAAGAAATGTCACCCCAGAGTTGTAAACCCTTGGGATCCTGCAGGGTGGCACATACAAGAGGCAGTACAAGCCTAATATTCTTCCTCATGCACCGAATTGTTTGTGAATTTTTGAGGAATAAAACTGAGCCTAGCCCCTGCCCCCAGGCTGCCAGAGACAAGTCCAGGCCATGTCAGACCTTTCACAAACTCTGTGTCCAAGGACAGTTGGCTWGGCCTCTGTGTAAGGAAGGTGTCAGCCAGAACCTTGAGCCCTGGGGAGAGATTAAAATGTTTTGAGATGACAGAGATGACTCACGGAAGGGCCTTGCAGCTGTAAGGGAAAGCCTTTCCTCCATTTCAAGGCTGCAGTTACCCACCAGCAGCCTCTGCTCCGCCCCTGGCTTTGATGAGCCTCACAAGGAACAACTGCTTCCTCTGCAGCAACTCCCAATGGCTTACAGGCAGAAAGGCATCATCTTTCCACACAGATTAATACCTGGGGGACTTGAGCTACTCCAAATTGCTCTGATTTTCCTTGGCTCTTTGGGCAAGGCATCGGTACTGGTGTGCTCTGAGGTCAATCAGCAGATGGTGTCAGAAAGTAAGGACTGTATATGCAGAGCTTCAAATCTGCTGTGTGGAGCCCATTTCTCCTCCAGCTCAGGYAGACTAGAACAGGCCAACAAGAAGTGGGCAGGATGAGCTGCAAACTGCTTGCCTGCCACCAGCAGTTCCAGCCATTTGTCAATTTTGTGATGCCATCAGCTGGGAAAAGCCTGAAATGCAGCTCTGGATTACTGCAGTGATCATCAAGTACATTTAATGAAAGGACATTCTCCTTGTCCCCAGGGATTTAGCTCCTGTCTATTCCTTTTAAAAAATGCCTTCAGAAGTGAAGATGTTTTCTTTAGCCTGGAGAGGCCAGTTTGCCTGGAGAGGTCAGGGAATTATTCTCACTTCCTATCTGTAATGTACAGATAGTGGTTTTCAATGAAAAATCTAACTCAGAATCAGTAATTGCCTCTGTGTATTCTTACACCCACCTACTGTTTCAGAGSATCTTTTGGAGGTGTTCTTCATTAGGAACAATCCATAAAAATGTATGGATAAGAATGCTCTCCCAACATAAAAGCAGCTCTGTCAGCTGTGTATCACAACAGTAATCAAGGACCCCTGATAKAGTACGGCAGTCATTTGAGACTGATCTCTTGCCATGAGATACTGCAGCTCTGGTGCTGAGAAAGCTTTAGAAGAAAATTATTTCTGAATTGATTCTTCGAGACTTATCTTGCAGTACAGCCTTCCCAGGAATAGAAATTCCTGTGGTGACAAAACTAGTTATTTAGCTAGACTGCTCTGTAAGAAGCCAGCAGTTGTTAGCTTCATGTTAAAAAAAAAAAAAAAAAAAAAAATCTCATCAGAAACAAAATGCTGCATGCCATGCAATCAGTGGACTTCTGTGATGGCATTTTTTGGGGCACATTCTCTTTGGTTTTATTAAGATTATCTGAAAAACATCCAATGAAAACAGAACTCATTGTATAAAAACCCCAGAGCAGCTGTACAAGACTGTCATCTTTTCTGCAGCCCTGTTAGTGCCTGGTGGAGAAAAATGGAAGTGCTGCTTTGCCTTTGTATGACAGGAAAATTACTAACTTTAGGCAAAGGSCAAACCTAGGAATGACTCAAAAGGAGCATAAAGGCTCTGGGTACACCAATCTTTCAAATTATTAGATAACCTGAGGGTAAATGGTGCATCAAAACTYGTCATGGTCTTCTGCAGGGTCTAATGAGAAATTTTTCAAGCAGGAAAGAAATAGATTAGCTGGCTCACCAGTGTTTTCACTGTTAAAACATGACTGTAAATGCCAGTGAAGCTGTTGGGAAGAGTCTGAAAGCATTTTTAAAGTCCTGTGGGAGTTGATATATAGTGTGATGTGTAACACCATCAACGACACTACTTTTTTTTTTTCTGGGATAACTCAAATAAGCAATAAAAATATTGAAAACCTAATAATGAGTAAGACTGGGATAGGCTACCTGCTGAACATTCAGCCAGGATCSTTATATGCTTGTACAACTCAAAAAAATAAAATTAATATTGGTACTGACAATTTCCAAAGAAGATGAAGCTAAAAAACAGGAATTTGCCTGTAGTGGTAGTGGACATYATCTGCAGAAAGCAAGTTACCCAGAAGAAGAGTGTGGTCAGTGCTTCCCTTCTGAGGGTCTCCTCTAAGGTGAAACTGGCTTTCACAACTCTCAGTCACCACAAAACGTCTGTCATGGAAGAAACGAGCATGCAAATACCAAAACTTCACCCGATTGCACACAGCAGTTGTTGAAATACAGAATGTTTTCTGGTTTGCCAGTTCCAGCAATGTATCCATTACTCATTTCATGACATGCTGCTGCTGCTGCTGCCATCAGTGCTGGTATAGATCTTGTGCAAGGCATCATTCAGAGCCCAGAGGGTACATCACAGGGAGCACTGTTTGTTGGGTTAATTTGMCTAGAAGAGTGACAATATTTCACTGTTCTCCCAACAGATGGAGAAACAGAATTCTCATTCAAAACAGACAAACTCAGTGAACCAAAGTACCTTTGTTTTTCTTAGAAGCAGCAGTGGAGTACATCACCCGTCTCCAGCTGAAGAATTATATTTAGTCTGATGATATGTAGGAAAGAGAAAAGAGAACTGCTTATGTCATTGATTTTGCACTAGAAAGTGAAGCCCTAAAATATTGTAGGATGAATACAGTGAGAAGGAAGGGCATCTGCTGTAGAAAACCCAGCCAAAGAACACCTTGGCACCTGTCTGGTACATTCCCAGGTGGGGGGAAGTACACAAGAAGAGTATTTATATTTAAGAACAGTCCATTCTTTGATGTACCTTAMAATATGGTGCATATATCCATATCTAGGACAAAGCCTAGGCTGCCTCAGCTTCTAGCATGGAGAAGRGGCCCTATCTTACTGAAGAGAACTGGAGGAGCAAAATCAACACACAAGCTTGGAACAGTATTGCTTGTGAAGGCCATGTGATCAAAGCAGGAAGGGTTTTTTGTTTTCCTACATTCTTCTCATTGTGACAGAGCCCCAGATGAAATCCAGTAGTCAGGTTCCAAAGGTACAAGGAGGTCAGTAGGAGGTAAAAGGTACAAGGAGGTAAAATGCCCTGTTTTCTCTCAAGGCAATGCTCCTCATGCTGCACAAGGAAAGTTCCTCTTCCTAAGTTAACTCCAGTGAATCTGATTCTAAGATGTTGTTTCTAAGATGACAAAAAAAAAATCTCTCCCCATCCTTCCAATCTGCACAGGCCATTTTTTTTACATGGCCCAAAGGTTTAGGGACTGAGTCACTTACAGACCATGGATCATTAAACTGGGCTGAGGATGTGCCAGCCCCTCCTCTATACGGAATAAGTTATTTTTGCTCAGCCATTATGGACGGTGCAACCAGAACGCAGGCAATGCCAGCTGGGACCCAGAACTATGTATGGAAAGAGCACTGACTCCCCAAAACCTGCAGAGTGCAGTATCCCAGAGGAGCATGTGAGTTTGGATGTACAATTTAAAAGCAGRAGGACATGATATGTATCTGTTCTCTGAATCTCACTGGAATTTCTGCAGCTTTCCAGCATTTGCTTTTTATCACTTCAGACAACAGGAAACAAATTCTGCAATTAATTCTATCTTATATGGATGCCAAAACTCAAGAATGGAGCATATAAATTGGAACAACCCAGGGGGCTTTGTTCTAACTCTTTTCAGCCCTGAAACATCACCAATTATTTCCTGGCACTGCTGCAATTTGTTCCTCACCAATCACTTTGTTTGCCAAACGGATTGCTGCCTCAATGGTRTTTTCTTCCGCAATTTCATCAACCAAGCCCAGCTTCAGTGCTTCAGTTGCTGGAATGTGTTTTCCTGTGATAAAAAAGAGAAATAAGGTGACTACAGTGGAGCCTGATGGGCAATTTTGCTCTTTTCCATATAATCAAATTACTTGYGCAGCTGGTAATTAGCCCCTCATGGGTGGAAGCAAGTTGAATTAYAACCCAAGCAGCTACACAGGTAAAAAAATCCTGGTTTTAGACCAAGCTGGTGTGACTCAATGCCATGTTCTTCTACACAGACACAGCACTTGCCTGTCGTGATCATATCCAGAGCAGCGGGTACTCCAATCAGTCTCGGGAGTCGCTGAGTGCCTTCAGCACCTGGAAGYAACCCAATGGTGACCTCTGGAAAACCCATCCGAGCCTAAAATGAAGCAAAATTCAACAATGAATCAGAATAGAAAGAGCAGAAAGTATTAGAAAGATAAGTGCATGCTGAGCAATACAGAAGAAAGACAAGCAGATGTGAGTCACACTGCTCCTCTAGGAAGCCTCAGAATTTCTACACAGAAACTTCATCCTTGCTTTTTGTGACATATKATATTTAAGAAAAAAGCCAACTTGACCATTTCCAGGATTTGTGTACAAAAGCACAARGAAAACATGACCTTTCAGAGGATTTCTGTGCTCATACAGTGGTGGGGGAGAGCTGTGGGGCCAACAGCATTCCCCAGACTGACACATGTCAATAAAGCTTCCCCGCAGTTGTTACCAACTTCTGATTGAAGTATCACCCCCCCCTCCCCCCAACCTTGCAATTCTTGCAAGTTTAATAAAGGGTTTAAGGGCCTTAAAACCATCTTGTTTCACTACCTGCCCTGGGCAGGGACACATTTCACTAGACTAGGTTACTCAGACCCCCATCCAATCTGGCCTTGGACACCACTGAGCTCTTCCCTAATCTTCTTTCAAATGTCTCTTGGTTCATTTAACATGGAAAAGTCGTGGCAGAGAAGCCAGGGCCAGCAGGACGTGTGTAAGGGTCTTCTCATCAAAAATGTATCTAGATTTTGTTGCCTTTTTGTTGCCCATTTTCAATTGAGCTTYTAAGAGATTTTGAGTTACTTTAAGACCACTGCTTATAGTTCCAGTAGTCATGGCACTTTGTGATGTGGTTTAGTGGACATGGTGGCAATTGRTCAAAGGTTGGATTTAATGATCTTGGWGGTCYTTTTCAACCTTAATGATTCTGTGATTCCATGGCCCTCACCTTAGGTGGCCACAGGGTGATGTGGAAGAACTCTTTATGCTGCTGCAGCAACCCACACTGCCACAGAGAAACAGTGACTCACTGCAGGAGTGAGGGRATGGCCCTGGCACTGAGTAGTCTCTACAAAGAGACAGGTACTGTTCAAAGGAGGTTCKGCATTTCCAAACCTTGAAGGAGGGGATTGAAGAAAAAAACCCCAGATCACTCCTTAAGACTCTCAAAGTTGTCTTTTGATCAAAGTGCTCCTTGGGGACCCAGAGCTCGTGGAGAATCGAACCATAAATGCTCCATGCTAGCYGAGTTTCAGCTACCTATAGAAACTAGGCCACGAGCAGAAAGAAGTGCAGAATTCACAGGGCTGGGGAAAAAAATAAATAAGAGAAAGTCACGCTGCATGAGTCAGTAAGATACAGCTGTCTGCATCAGAACATGGATAATGAGACCTAGGGCAAAYTAACATTTGGTTACTGAAGTTTCTATGCAGCCATAGTTAGTTACAAATCCTGTAGTTACATCCTCCTGTTAGTTACAAATCAACTTTATATTTAGAAATTACTSGAAATTAGTTAGTAATGCTTAGGGAAGTACATCAAGGGTTGTGGTGCAGGTGAAGGATGTCTGAGCACACAGACTTGTATCCTACAGCTATGAAGGCACCCTCCTGTGGGTAGAGGGTCCCAGAAAATGTCCCTGTCCCTCTGCTGTGCCCGTGCCATCTGTACATGGCTCCTGAGGCCTCCAGCAGCCCCTGTGGCCCGCAGGGTGTGTTACCTTCACGTGTGCAACGCGGTAGTGACAGCCCAGAGCCACCTCCAGTCCTCCTCCCAAGGCSACGCCCTCGATGGCTGCCACCACTGGCTTCTCGCTGCTTTCGATGAGAGACACGATGGGGGCCAGGCCAATGCCTGGGTGGCGCTGCGGGGTGGAAAAGCCTCGGATGTCAGCTCCTGAGGGAACACCAAGAGACCAGGAGGGATTAGCGGGCAAGGTGGTGACTGCAACAATCCTTCCCCTTGTGCCAGTGGACACAGCTGCTCACAGATGCCCCAGTCCTTGCAGGGCGTGCTGCTGGCAGGACAGTGGGTAATGGGAATAAAACCCTTTTGGGACAACCTTCAAGCAGYCCTGGATTCTTGATCCTGTTCAGAGAGYTCTGGGGAAGGCTGTGGACAAAAAYRCAGAGTATTCTTGTAAGGATCATGYWKRTATTTGCAAACATCCTTGGTGTAATAATGAGCYTGGAGTAGTAAAGTGCAAGTTACTACTAACAAGCAATGTAGAGCTCCACAGAAATTCCCTAACTTTTCAGGCTTCTACAACTGGAGAAGATCTGTTATTTGCCACTGCACCACCTCAGGTACATTTCATTCACTGGACCAGTAAATGGTCCATAGATTTTACATAAACAAAGCTACAGAGACTAAGGAAGCACCAGGATGTTATGGAGTTGAGCAGCTSTCTCTCATTTCAGCATATTTCACAGACCAGCTTATTTCTGGCCTGGACAGTCCAGCTTGTCATGTGCCTCGTGTCAATTGTGGCTCAGCAAAATAGACAAAGCCCCCTGTCTTGGTAGCCAATTCCAGCCAAATCAGGACTTTTCTCAGCAGTATTACAAGGCAGAGAATATTCAGATATGATGGGTGGAGAGTGTTTCCTCTTTTGCTCAGGCTGTGGTTGATGTCTTACCTGCACTGAATTTCCCATTTTCACCACAAATCATAACAGCTTTCACTGAGGGATCTGCATCAGCTTTCTTCAGGCCATCCTCTAAAGTCTGGAGAACTGCCAGACTGAAATAAAACAGAGATTCAATAACCATCAACTACATGCCCCTTCCAAGAGATCTGTGTTACAAACACCGAGCAGCCCAGTGGAAATGAGCAGGTCCAACAACCTGTCTGGTATCCTGTCTGCTGGATAGCCTCTCACAGTGATCCTGTCCTCAGCCTCCCTCTTACTCCAAGGACAAACACCCAAACCCAACAGGCTGACTGCAGACCTGTCAGTCAAGGCCTGGAGAGTTATCTTCAAGCTGTGACACGGCTGTTTCCATAGCAAGCATCACAGGGAAATGTTCTTTTGAAAATGTCTTTATGAATTAAACACTCAGATTTTCAGGAAAACAGTTTAGCATAATTTAAAAGTAATTAATGCTAAACCACTGACAATCTAAGAACTTTTGGGAAGAAGCTCTAGGGATAAATATGTTATCTTTCAAACACCTGACACAGGCTCTGCTGCTATTAATAATGCTACCTTGTGAAGATCTGCACAAAGGCCCAGACTTAAACTGATGTGGGATCCTGCCAAAGGGAATTTGGGCATGAAACACTACACAGAACATGTTTTCACTCATCTGAACAGGTAGTTCTGTGGACACCAGCAGTAAATGTGACCAGCTAAGAATTAATGAAGAATTTCAAAATGGATCTGTAGAAGTATAGATAGTGTTTTGTCAAATCAGATATTGTAAAAGTCTGACCCCACTGTATATCCACTTTGCATTGGCTCCTTTAAAGCTAATTTTTATATGCATGTGTTTGTGTCAATGGACATGGAGWTCATAGTCTGTTTTAGAAGGTGGCAACAATAGAGAATAGTAGGCAAAAATAGAAGCATGAACACTTTAGTTATARAAATATTTATAGAAATTTTGTGTATATATAATTTAGATACTAAAATAGACGGATATTCACACCATTTTAAGAATATAGTTTGTGACAGACTATTCTGTGTGCATGTGTAGAGATGTCTCTGATTCAGAAAATCTGAGCCACAAGCAGTTGGAATMTGGAAGAATATCCAGAAGTAACAAACATGTTTGCATGGCCTTTTGTAAAACCAGCCATCCTTCCTAGGCTTTCTCCAAAGCCTGAGCCTGGCTCCACATGTAAGCTTGGTGGTGATGAGAAGGGAGCAGAGCTCTGCTGATGCCCAGTGGAGAGGAGCAATGTTAATTACAYAGAACTGAAAGACCCAAGACACAGTCAGGTTGTGCATGTTCCTCTCTATATTTGAGGGCATTTAATCTAAAAAAGGAGTTTGTTGTGAAGTAGATGAATATCACACCACTGTACTCTTGTGCACACACATTTTTACAGGGCAATGCTTGCAGCATTCATGTGGTAATCCATAGTCTGAAAAGGGAAACCTTGGAGCCCAAGGAGCTCTATGAAAGCCAGCTGTGTGAAGGACTGCCAGACATCTTCTGCTTATTCATGCTTATTCCTCCTTCAAAATAAAAAATTAAGACAAGCAAAGTCTATCAATCTGAGCTGATGGCTGAGAGGGGCTGTCTGGGAGTGTCTCCAGGACCATCTGCTGCCTGGATAAGGCCGTGCTATACAGAAGGGTCAGTGGGAGCCCTGAGAGCTGACAACCAGAGACTGGGAGAAGTGTTATTTTTGGGGAGAGAACAAACAGTTATGTACAAATTCCCAATCCAGACATCAAAGGCAACTCTGGAGTGTGATGTTARTAATGGTTCTGAAAGCTGAAACTTGAGAATAATTTGGCAATACCRAAGTACAACTGTGAGGTGAGTCAGTAAACATCCCTTCACTGAATGTAGCTCCACGTAGCAGAATATGAAAGCCTTTCCAAATTTTATATAYTAAATATGTGTTAATATGTTAATTGTTTTTTATCTCCCTCCCCYTGGCATATCTGTGGCTGCTGCTATTTGAGGAGCACCCACAGGATGCACCCAATGCTCACTGCTCTTGGAGTTCTGTTTGTGTATGGGTGGAGAGCCAGGCCACAGCAATACTGGCCTCTCCCAGGGGCTGGGAGATGTCAGGGAAAGCCATTAGAAAATGTCATTACACTCTACAAATCACAGTGTAAAGAAGGAGAAAAAATATGCCCCATGATCCAAACAAATGTGAAGTTACTAATTTGCAAATATTGTATAGACAAATGGCAAAATTCTGTCASGAACAGACCAGAAGTAATCAAAGTATTTCTGTGTTTGTTCCAGGCGTGTGATCAGGAGATGCAAAATGCCCAGCTAAAAGGGTTGTCTGCAGCTAATGGAAATGTTCAGAGTTTTATGGGGGAAACCACTTATAAGCCCTCAGCACTTACAGCAACATACTCCTACCAAAATAAAAACTAGTTATCAAGGCTGCCACAAAATCAGTTTGATCCCTACGTTGCCTTTATTAAACCAACAGGACTGCTTATGCTAGTGAAAAACTTGGTGTTYATACAAATATTTCTTCTCTCTCCAGATAACTTTCTTCCAGTAGGAATTTTTGTGGGATAAAAAGGAAAGACAATCAGACTTTCTGCAGATTCTTGTTTTCCTAAGGTGGAGTGATAAGTTTGCCTTGGATATGTCACAGTCAAACACACAGACTGCATTGCTTTGTCACTCACATGCCATAACCGGCACTAAGAGATGTAATTTTCAATTAACACATCAYAGTAAAATATATGACAATAGGATTATAAAAATACTCAGGAGAATCCCAACATCAGATTGCTAGAGCATTAAAGAAACAGAAAGTCACCATAATTTGTGTAAGTATTTCATTACTGTGACAGTGTCATTCATTTAGCAATAACAATGCAAAAATTCCCTCCATGCATTGCAAGGTTGCATCCCATGCCATGCAGTCAACTCCACCATGGACACAATTTGAATTGCAAGAAAAGTGATTCTGCCAAGCTGGTTCAGTGCTCCAGGTTTCAGAAGCACAAAGCAGGTGCTGTCAAAGAGCAGGTGCACACCAGAGTAAGAGAATATTCTTGGAGCTTACCACACCAGGTTGTTTTTATTTTATGGGACACATTGCAGTGGCTGTGATGTGCTGGACTTGTAACAGGGTTTTACTATTTACCTTAACTATTTCACATTTTAGCTGGGATTTGTGAATGTGAATTTCTTCCATTWATATATAYAYATATATATATAYRKGAATCCTGAAAATTTACTTAGTCACATATAAAGAAGTGAGACTTGAATCCAACAATGGAAAATGTTTATGGAAAACATCCAGGTCTGGTCCTTTCCCTTTATACATTTCCCAGCTTCTAATAAATTTTAAAAACCTGAAAATCCCAAACCTGAACACGAATAATCCAGGCTGTCCCTTTTTCACAGGCCCCCTGTCCTCTGGATAGCTTCCTGCAGTGTTTTTCTTTGAACTAGCTGCTGGGAATTTACATAATCCCCTTTTTAAAGCTGAGGACTTGTGTTCTGGAGTTACCAACCCTGCTCTCTCTTGCTTCAGTGTCAGATCCAGCTGTGTAGTAGCTGCTATCACATGCTGTTGTGTGACAAGTTGCTAATACAGACTGAACAGTCATGCAYGTAAATRAAGGCSAGAGTCAGAATGGCATCCTTTTGGTGGAATTTTAGAATAGTTGTTTTARGAAGCAGATGCTTATTCATCCCGGAATTTTCTCTAGGCATCTCATCCTGATGAGGTGCTGATGCAATCCAACGTGGGTAATCATATTCTCCCCTCATTGCTATCTGTCTGAAACTGCAGCTTCTCTAATTTACTTTATATTTTCTGATTTTTATGGTGGTCAGGGTCAGAAGGTGTCCTGGTTTTGCTTGGTCTGGTTTTTGGGTGGTGGGGGGATGGGACCAAGAAACCACAAAGACGGCTCCTCTGACAAAGTTCTAGAAGCTTTCTCCTTCTTCTCCAGCAAAAGGAGCCCTTCCCCCTGTGTTTTAGAGCCAATCCATCGTGGCTCTGAGGTTGATGGATGGGCTGCTGGTCAGGCCTGGGCCAATTGCACATGCTAGTTACACCTCTGTGATGATGTATGGTCTTGTACTTAAGAAGAATTCAAAACAAGATAGAGTGCATCCGCCATTTAGTTTTTAGGTTGTTCGTATCATGCACCGGGGGAGGACAGAGGAGGAGGGGGAGGAGATGTAAGGGAAAAAAAAAGGAGACCCAAATCACAGTAAGAAGAAAACAGGTGCTGTTGCTGTTGCTGTGGTGCTCGCACATGGAGAAAACAAGCTGTTCTCAAAGGGACTATTTCTTCAATGGGAGACCTGTATAGAAAAGAGAAGCCCTGCACTTGAGATAAAAAACCTGGCCTTTAAGGACTGGATTGATCATAAGCCTAAAAGGGGGAAGAGGTGCCCCCCCTACATCAGAAGCGAGCTGATGCTTAGAAGAAACTGTGTTCTGCCAGGAGATTTSAGAGAGTGGCCTTGGAGAACTGTTTTCTCCYAYGAGGTAAAGAAAAGAATCCCATGCCACCAGCAGTTATACACTGACTGTTTCTTGGGAAAAGAACTTCCACAGCTCAGAGCTGTAAGGACTCTTCTCCTATGGTGCTGGACGGCAACTGTAATGAGTAGTYTGATCTATGTTAAAMYTTYMWYCCYKSCYYCCYTKKKSCYKGGRARGKATGGAGGGGTGGGGARGGACAAYCTGAGAGAGACAAGTTCRCAGAAAAAATAACAGGTATCTTAAAATGTCCRTTTTTATTTCTTCTMCTTGTAAATTTTCCCCTATCTTTGTTCCCCTCCCTGGTGTGGTAGTTTTTTTAGTAGCCCTTAGTAATAAATCTATTTTGCAACTTCAGTTTTTTTGAGCTTGTCTCACCGTTTCTGGAGCATATATGTATCTTTCTCTCCATTACRTTGTCATATCTAAAAGCCATAAATTTTAGTGTTAATTGGGCTTTTGCTCTTCCCCTCTGCCTTCTCCGGTTGGTGGTGGTGGTGGGGGGGAGTGGGATGTCGTGGGTGCTTTGGCTTTCGGCCAAGTTCAAACCATGACAGAAGGACAGTCCTGGCAGCCAGGGAGAGTCTTTTCCAATCAAACATCTTACACTGTCACATTTCACACAATCCCACACATAAGCTCCCCTACTGCAAGTCCTCCCTTATCCTCCCTGGAGCTTTTCTGTCCTTGTCAGCTCAAAGTTGAAATACTCCTTAAAGTCCTTCTAATTCCCAGTGCCAGCAGCCTGCCTCTGCTGAGAAGGGGTAGTCAGTCCTTTCTATTGCATGTCTTGTCTTTCTGTTCCCCAAAACTCCCAGTTCTTTTATATCTAAATCCCTTCTCACAATGCCATGGTCTCATAAATGCACATCTCTGAATAGAAAACTTCTACAAACCAGGAAAAAACCTCTAAACAAATCAACTTTGGCACGTGATATCTCTGCTGGTGGAGAGACTGATTAGCTTAAAGGGGAGTCTGTGTGGGAGCCAAATTTGCTGCCAGACTCAAGGCAGCACACATTCCTCAGGAAAGCACTGCCCTGCAGGTACCTGCACAGCAGAGGATGGTGTCAGACAGGAGAAAGCAAATTCCTGCCCACCAGTGGCTTCTAAAGTGCTAATGGCCAGTGTGATGACCCTGGAGGGGGAAATGGATAATGGGAAGAGGTAGAGGAGGCTGGAGCAGAGCAATGAAAACTCACCAGTCTTAAAAAGCATCTGTGCCTGCTGTGAAATGAAATTTTCAATATTGCAGGACATAGCTCCTATCTGTAACTTTCTCTGCCTGCTGCCACCTGTGCAGTCAAACATTACCAAGAGCTGTCACAAACCTGCTCCCTGTGGTCCAACACAGAAATGAGCAGAAGMAGGAGAGCCCATAGATCAGACTATGCTCTGCCTTTCTTAGCTGCAGTCAGGTCAGCTAAAAACTACCCATGGCAAGGGTGTGAGAATTATGGATCCCTTTCAAAAGAGGTATTTCCCTGGCATGCCACCAAAGACCACAGACATGTAGTTTACTGGGTCTGAATTCTGCCAGGATCTTCCTTCCTCCCCTTGGGGCTGGGGGACTGTGATGATTGAAGCATGGACTCCATGTAAGGCATATGAAGATGTGAAGATGTTTATTATGCAGTAGTAAATTCCTTATATATTGTAAATTAACCTGGAAGTAATTCTACATTACAACACACTCCAATCAATTATCTTGTCTCAGAATATTGCCTTTTATGGTACTAGGAAAACAATACCTTTTACGGTAGCAGTGTTCTTTTAGTCTTGCAAGAACTAGTGGTTTCAAACTTTTCATTTGGCCTACCTACTTCACTCGTSATCAGTTATGTTTACTAATTCTAAGGCTTCTTCTGCAGCCAGGACAGGATATAGGCCTGACTTTCAAGGTCTGTTGTTCTGCTGTTACCACTACCAATATTTCGTAACCCTACAGGGAACAGGACCCCAACCACACCACCTGTCACCCTTGGTGTATCAGAACTGCACCTTGCTGTGAGGACACTGAAAGGCCGGGAAGAAAGGGCAGTAAAAGCAGAGGTCTGTCCTGAAGAAGTTGTTGTGCAGTTGCTGTTCAGTGGCAGAGRTGGCTTGGGTTTTTTCCAGGACTGCTCAAAATAGGGGAGTTAAGGTTCCTTAACCATGTATCTGTTACTATTAATGGYTGGACTCAGTGATTTTAAAGATCTTTTTAATGTCAGGAATTCTAAGATTCTTTAGCTCTGTATTTTGTATTTTTTCATGGTAAGGATGGAAAGTTTATTGTGAGCACAGCCTGGAAGTTTTCTCTAGACTGGTCTTGGGCACAGGAGATCCAAAGGGTGTCTTACACCCTACAGTTCCAGGAGTCCTACATGTCTGTCTAAACTCACCAAGTCACTCCAAGTTTCTTACTGTAATTATYTCAGCATGTGAAAATGTTCTTACTGCACTTCTAAACGTGTTGCAACAGRAGAGTGAGCATTGCCAGCTACAGTGTAGTTTTGCTACTGAAGGGCAGCAGGTTTTATCTCCTCTTCATGCTCTTACTTCACTCTATCAGTTTCTTTATAACAAACTTTCTGATTTATAAGCCAAGCACAATTTCAGTGGTTTTCTTCTGGTTTGTGAATATAGACTGAATAGACAGCATGGTCACTGTTAGYGAACAACTACAGCTGCTTAGAAAGGGCCTACATGCTGTTCAGAATGAAAGGAACTAAATTGTACACCTAATGTAAAGCAAAAAGCACGTAAGTCCTTTTCAAGACACACGTAAAACGAAAATTTCATAGGCTCTTTTAGATTCGTGTTTGAATTTGTTTTCCCCTGGCTTGTGTTTGAGATCTCACAGGGCCTCTCCTGACCAAGGTCGGTGTTTAGAGGTCAATTCCTTAATAATTTCTAAAGGGCAAATGAACTGCCTYCTGATAGATCCGGCTGGGTTTAACCCTGGTGCCAGCTCTGCTTGTTGTACCACACCTGATTCCACAGAGCCCTTTGCCCTCACCCCCGTGCACACTTGGACAGCGCAGGGATTTGTCAGGCTCTGAGCAGTATGYAGGGCAGGCAATCAAACCCGGATAGCTGAGGATTGGCTTGCACCAAGCAGCGCTGAGGCACTCCAGGCTGAGCAAACGCTGCTGTGCTGTGCTGTGCCTTGCTGGAAGCCGTGTCTTGGGTGTTTTAAGACTGGAAGGTGATGAGAAACAGGCAAAGTTGTTAGACAACTTCTGGGGAAGATGACAGAAAGCACAGCCGAGCCTGGCACCTCTCCCGAAAAACGCCCCAACTAGAAATCATAGGAGCAGAAGCTGTGGCAAAGTTCAGCATGTTTGCTGCAAAGCGAGATCCGAGCTCCCTCTGAGGGTACCGGGTGTCTCCGCGGTACCGAGCGGAGTGAAGCCCGGCAGAGGCTCTCTGGGGCCGCCCCCCGCGGGACCGGGTGGAGCCTCACTCGGGCACGGAGAGGGGATTGAGGAGAAAAGGAAGGAAATGGAAGAAGCCCCCGGCCCGCTCCTAAGGGATTCCCCCAGCCCCGGCGCGGCTGCCGGCCGTACCTGAGCGCGTTGACCGGCGGGTTGCAGAGCCGGATGACGGCCACGGCCGAGCCCCTCGCGTAGTGCGCCATGCCGAGCCTCCGCTGTCCCCGTGTCCCCTGTCCCCGTGTCCCCGTGTCCCCATGTCCCCGGGTCAGCCCCTGCTCACCCCGCCCGCAGCCCGCCCTACCAGCCCGGGGCTGGGCCCCGCCCCCTGCCCGCAGCGAGCTGGCTCTCCTATGGTTGCAAACTGTAGAACACTGAACATTTTCTTAAGAAAGTGTGTTCTTTAATGTTTGATCTTTGYAACTTTCAAACATGGTTAACAAGAAACGGGATTTAATCCGTGAAACGTCGAGCAGCTCATAAGCTCCAAGTGATGTGCAGGTGTCAGAAAAACAAAATCCTTGTTAGTAGAATTGCCTTGCTAAGGTTTAGGGCTCCRTGTGTTTCAATGATCTCAGTCCTAGGGRGACGTTGACAATGCTTGGGAAGACGGATGTGTCACTGAAAGTGGRCAYAGAGAATGTAGAATTTACWGGCTACAAGGACATCTGGCAGAACWCAYAAGATAAAGGAGAAACTAATAAAGCCAACTCAGMAATTGTGCTGGAWTCAGCCCTGACTGGGTAAAAGRWAATTCCAGCAGGGGCAGAGCATGACCACCAACTCTCGGACCACTGACCCAAGAAACCACTGACCCAAAAGAAGGGAARGATTGAGCATGTSTCTAATTAGCATGAGAAATGAGAGMATCATTAAGCAGTAGAAGACAGAATATTAATTAATCAGAGAACAATGTAACTTGCAACCAATGAACATCAATATGTTAATTTGCAAAAATATATAAATAGTGAAAAGTTTTGAAAATCGTCGAGCTGGCTTTGTGGATTTGCYACCCAGKCCCCTTTCTGTGCAGAAATAAGTATCTTGATTCAGTGTTAGATGAATTGGCCACTTGCACTTTGGGTGAAAGGACCTACTGTGGGACAACACTGGGATTTAATGTGTGCTCCTGGTCAAGCTCTGTCTCCCTGGTGTGCTTGGGTGTCATTTCACACCAGCCCCTCAGCTCAGTGCAGTGATGCCACTGTAAAAGAGCTAAAATGTATGAGGGGAAAAAGTAGTTTCTAATGTTACAAAATGTATCTGTTGCATTAAAATATCATTTAAGGGACAGAWTATTCTTATCCATATATTATCATATTATTTATATCTCAATAATCTCTCCTTTCTTCTCTTGGCCTTTGAAAGTCAGTCCCTGGGCAGAATGGCTACAGCTCCTTCCCTGGTCTGGAACAGGTGTAGACAATTTTAGAAACTGATTTGCGTGTACAGAAAGATCCTTCACTCAAAGCAACTTTTATTGCTGCTTTTATATAACTTTTATTGTTGGAGCTGTTGTGGTGGATCGCTCCAGCTCTTCTGCCATTTATTAATAATGTTAAAAAACACCAAACTGGGGACACTACTCTACCATTTGCTTGTAAAACAGCATGATCTGGGAGTTTATAAAAATGGTGTAAATGGTGCCTTTATAGGGCTCCTGGTCTGTTGTATCTTTATTAACCAGAATGAAATCAAAGATCACTCTAAGATGTACTTTGTGTTTATAATTTACAGGTCTGATCTACTTGTCCTTTAATAACAAAGCTGCTGTAGTTGTGATAAAACAGGCGCCTTCTGAGCCTGAATAAACACAGAAGAAAGCAGTGCTCAAGAAAAGAAAGGTCATTAAAAAAAAATTAAGGAAGTTCTACATTGTAATGGAAAAGCTCCAGTAATGTTTAAGGTTGTAGGACTGATTTTTTTTTTAAATTTTAATTTATTTTTTTTTTACCAGCAAGATGAACAGAGTTTGGTAGTGAGAAGAAGAAATGCCTTTCAGTGTATGTAGCAGAGAAATTTTAAGTCTTGGGAGATGTGCAAGGATCAAGTGCAAATATCTGAGCTTAAATCCAGCTCCAAAAACAATGGGGAAAGATGAGCGCATGGCACAGACCTCAATTATACTTCTAGCAATGTTTTCCTCTACGGATTTGCTATTCCTGTTTTGGGAAGACTTTTTCCAGAACTGGGTGCCAGATGTATTTTCTGAGCATTATCCTCTAATGTGTGGTCGAAACACCAGTAATCAGAGAGATCTGGAACAGTGAGATCTCTTTTCTTTTGGCAGGCCTGGGCACAATTATGCTTCCAGCAGTGTTTTCCTCTCACAGTGTTGCTGTTTTCACAGCAGGCAAGGCTGTGCAGCTCTGCTGCATTGGAGTTAGTCCTTGAGCATTGGGAGGGGTTCAGGTTGCAGTYTGTCAGTGCGCTTAACCTTGGCAAAATGTTATCAGGATGGTCCAGTTTGTTCCTGTAGCTTTTGTGTGATTCCTCAAGAGCTTTGTGCAGTCTCTGTCAGMCCTGCTGTTCTACCTGTGCTTGATAGTCTGTGCCTCTCTGAAAAGCAGCTGTGGGCTCTGAAACCACTGGATGTGGTGGCAGCTATCTCTAGCCCCAGGCCTGCCAAAAGAAAAGAGATCTCACTGTTCCAGATCCCTCTGATTACTGGTATTTTGACCACACATTAGAGGATAATTTAGAAAATACACCTGGCACCCAATTCTGGAAAAAGTCTTCCCAAAACAGGAATAGCAAATCCATAGAAACTCCAGTACTAGAAGTGGAAATGAGGGTGTGCACCAAATGACAGATTTCAATGGATGTGAATGTTATGCTTTGTCTTCTGAACACCCCAGAAAGTGCTGTGGTCGGAAAGATTCCTGCTTCTTTCTGAGCTGCAGAAACACAAATGTATCAAGTCTCCTACAGTCCCCTGGGAYCATCAGCCTGTTCAGGAAGTGCTGAACCACAAGTGCTTTATTTATAGGAGGCTCAGCTTGATTTTTGTTCTAGTATATCAGTGCTGTGCGGTACTCCAGAGGAAAAATCTTGATTTGCTCTATCCTTATTCACACAGAACAAAAATTCCTGGAAAATGCTTCTCTGGCAGCTGGACCAACCCTGTCCATTTCTGCTCCCAGAGGCATTGGAAAAGGTGAGTGTTCCAGCTGGAGGAGTAGAGTGTTTCTGTGGGAACAACCTCTGAGGAACAGGGAAGGTCTAATCAGCTGTATTGTGCAATCTGAGTGGAGATTTKTGGTAAAACCCATAACCACCATGCTGAGAGGGGCAGGAACTCTGAAAACTTACTCTTTCTTGACAGCAGCTGGCCTAAACATCAGGCATGAATTACACTTTTTTTTTGGTGAAAACAATGGCTCAGAGGGCCAAATCCACCAACTGTTTTCTTCTTTATCTTTTCCAGCTATGGTTTTTAAATGTTGGTTTGGTTTCTTTCTTAAAAAGTTGTCYGTTGTAAAAAAAGCTGTTGAACTCCTCATCTTTCTAATCTGGTACACTGTTCTTTGCCCCTTTATCTGTGATAAAARCCAATACTGGTAAACATTTGATCACAAAATAGTTTTCAAAGGCTCATTTGGTTATCACATCCTTAGGACACCTACTCTGATAACTTTAGAGTTCCTAGCTAAACTGTCCCCAAAACCAAGCCTCCTAGAGCCTCAGTGAGTGGAAGTTCAGTGTCTCGGGGCTGGCACAGAGAGCTCCCACAAAGGCACAGCTGGAGCAAGTGTGGTAACTACAACYACACAGCAAGGCACATTGTGGGTGGTGGAGTATTGTCCTATTGCAGAGTTTGAATTTCTGCTGAAGAGCCTTAGCTTCTTTTAGCCATGAAGATTGTTTCAGGTTGATGTGCTAAAGACATATTTTAAAGCTTTTCCTTCTAGCTGGGTATCCTTTGAGGAGTTTCTTTTCTGCAGTAAAAAAGGGTTTAAAATGTCTTGGAAACTTTGCCTCTGTTCTGTCTCATAAAACCAAGCTGGGCATAATTAGATGCATAGTTAACTTTACYCCTGTTAGTATGCACTTAAAACCCAATATGCAGGTGCAGAACAGTTGTATATCCAACTCTGCGATTCCCCCTTAGAAACAAATATCTCATTTTTGTTTCCAATGTGTGTGTGCAGGTGTGGAGAGTCACAACGGAGCCCTGAGAGCAGGACAGCTGTTGGCATGGAATCACAGACTGGTTTGCATTGGAAGGGACCTTAAAGCCCATCTCATTCCACACCCTGCCATGGCCAGGGACACCTTCCMCTAGACCAGGTTGCTCCAAGCCCTGTCCAACCTGGCTTTGAAGGAGTTTTGTCTTACTGAGGCTTTGCTCTGCTCCTTGGCTTCTTGAAACCCAGAATTACTCCTCTAAAATTCCCCACTGTATCAGAACTGCTCCGTATTTATATGTGTTTTAACATCCAGCCCTGCAAACACAAAGGCATGGACAGCTTCCCATACATGAGGCTGGTCTGACAGATACGTTAGCAACGTACAAACCCATAGCATTTCCCACCTAGTGAGTTGCCTGTTCAGCATTTATCTCCCTTTGTACCATGCTGGACATTTCAAATTTAAATTGCCTTAAAAAAAATTGCCATTTCAAAGGTAGGACCTTGATTTCTCCCTKCCAAAACAAAGCATGTTGATTATTTTAAATAATACAAGCCTATTTCATAACTTTTGAGCTCKGATATTTGCGTGGTTTCAAAGCAACACCTCCTGGCAAGCTGTGGTATTGCTTGTGCAGGGAGAGACCKCCCTTTTGGGACACGACAAAACAGGAATCCTGCAGAGTGAGTGACAGAATCACAGGATGCTTTGGGCTGGAAGGGACCTTAAAGTCCATCTCATTCCAATCCCGTGTCATGGGCAGGGACACCTTCCATTAGGCCAGTCTGCTCCAAGCCTCGTACACCCTGGCCTTGGACACTGCCAGAGATGAGTCAGCCACAGCTTCACTGAGAAACTGTTCCAGACTATCAGTGACCTACAGCAAAAACCTCTTCTTGCTCAGTGATAAATCATGGGGTCATGGATGTGGCTGTTCCAACTTCCACTGGAGGAGAAATAAAAGTTGGGAGCGTGGTCCAACATTCTTTAAAATGAAAGCACACATAAACACTTAGTGCTGTCTGACAGGTATTGTTGCCTTGTTTCTTTTTGTGTATGCTTGTACCACAGGTGCTGGTTTACATTGGACAGTATCACTACAAACCATGCAG